ACAAACTCCGACAAGACTGAAGTGCGGTGAAGTTATATGTAGGCATAGTCTAAAACAAAGACCACGTTGTACATATTGTATATCAACAATTTTACTTTCTCTTTTTAAACAGCATAAACAGGATTTGTTGTATTTATTTTAAAATGACGTGGAAAATTTTCAAAAAATTGATGAAATATTTATTTCTTAAAAGCATAAAACCTTACAACATTTTGGTCCAGGAGAGTAGGCGTTCTACAATGTGCCAAGCATTTTCCCGCCACATCTCAACTCCAAAACAAAGAGACTGAAAGAGAAGAAATGTGGTGGATCTAGAGGGAGTTGGGGGGGGGGGGGAGTAATATCCTCTAAGAGAGAGAGCGAGGAGCTACACATATTTCATTATTGTTGCGTTTTTTAAAAGTAAAACTATAGCGTAGTTTAAACTTTAGTTCTGTACTTTTATGTAAAAACTACTTAAACATCAAACTTCCACCAGCTAGAGCAGTTCGTTTACAATTAATTTAAGGTATTCAATCCCTAATAGGATCAAATTCAATGAATTAAATACATAACAGATAAGTAGGCATTGAATACTCAGTTTATTTAGACATACTTCCCATTTATTACTGTTAGAATGTATAGTGGGATGTGTCTTAGTTTATGACCTTGAATTTTGGTAAGAGTTATCTCCCCCTTTTTTTAATTAATAAAAAAAATCAATTGAAAAAAATTGTAACCGGTAAAAAATTGTTTTCAATTGTTATTCTGTTTTTAATGTTTCGATGCATCTTTCCACCGCAGGATTTATTGATATTCAAAGTATTTAAATTTTTAGTTTGAATAAACGCTTTTCCCCATAGACTTCAATGCAATCTTTGTTAATTTACTACTGCTTAATTAATGAAATTTTTTAAACTTTCTCGCGGTCAATCCTTTTCATTTTTAAAATACTTTAATATAATATCAGAGTATTATGTACTTGACGGACATTTAAGGGTAGAGAATTTGGTCCCATTAGGGATGGAAATCCTTAAGTACAAAACTGAGTGCAGAGACGCAGAGGTCTATGGACAGTTTGTTTATACATATAATATTGTTTATGCATTATGCATGAAGAAAATCGGCAATGTCGCATGCAAGTGTTTCATGTCACGAGGATATTTTAACAGATAAATTTAAGAAATCTTAAAGACAGGTCACGCAAATGTCAGTTTTCAATTACTTTATCAATGGAACAATTAATTGGTTTGCGGCCGATTTTTGACGCTTGCGTCAATATATGTTTCTTGTAAACTCTTTTGATGAAGGTAAGGAACGAGAGAGCGGGCGAAATCTTTCCCCGTTCTTTTTTGTTCAATAAAATATGTAATCATCGGTATCGGCACATGTGTTTGTAAGTTTTCATGACTAAACGCAGTGAGAAACTTACTAAAATACAAAGTTAAAGTCACAATTGTCCTCGAATCAATAAAGGATTATTTATTAAAAAGGTTTTATATCCGCATATTCTAAAGAAAATCCGGGTATATTGTTTAATCTTCTCGATTTGGAATATGATAGATTGTGTCTAGTAGAAGGTTTTGGACTTTTAAATTTTACCATGGCAGTCAAAGGGGGATCGATAAATGTGTTTTTCTCTTTTACAAAAACCTGGTTTCATGAACTCTCGTACATTTTAAGAAGATGAATGGTAGTGTCTTGTCAATGTGTAATAAGGTTTTATATTTTTATTTTCACCCTGGAATCAAATAGGAGCAAAAAGATGTTTTTTTTCTCAATAAATCTGAATCCCAGAACTCCTCTTACATTTTATGAAGTAGCCAAATCGTCTTTGGATGGATGATTACTGGTGTCCTGTAGATGTGAAAAAACTTTTCCGATATTTTACTTTACGTTCTCACAACCAAAACCATGGTTCCCTGAACACTTATTACATTTTCAGAAAGTGTATATACCTTCCCTTGGGTACCAGCCAATTGACCCTTTGACCTTGATTTTGCTTTCAACTTGACCATTTCTTAAATTTTATAAAATAAACAAAAATACAAAATTTGAATAAGTGTTACAATTTTAATCTCATATGCAAAGTTATAGAAGAAATAAATATATAATAGTGATTAATTACATAAAAAGAAACGATATTTAACATCAATATCGTGATGATGTCCGTATTCTTGATCAAAGCGTACACAAACTGAAGACAACGCAGTGTGATTCGACTGATTCTTCTAAAAAAAAATTATCGTCCAATCCTCCAGTACAATACTTTATTTGTAATTTATTATCCATTTATTTCATGGATTTATTTTACAGGGTCAATCAAATCAGGGAAATAAAAGTTCTTCACGTTTTATCCATTAAGACTTATCAAAAAGTACTTTTTTTAATTCTAAAGTTAAAAGAATTGAATCTACATTAATTTTACAAAGTTTACACATGCTATCAACTATATCCGGGTTTAATTGTAGGAAACAATACCACTTCATTATGTCAAGTATTGGTAGTAATGCTATTCCATAGCCAAACCTCTTTATACTTAGATGTAACCCTAACCTCTACCCGCCTGAATCGTGTCCAAACCCATCAAACTCTGGTAGCAAAATACAATGCACTAGGACACATCATGATGTGTTATGTATGCATGTCATTGCAAAATTCAATACACCAGGATAAAAGCATTTTAAAAATGTTTACTGAATGCAGCATACTTTATACCAAGTCTGCGTCATCATATTCACTGTTTGTAGTTATATTTACAACAAGATTAACAATTTTTTTTATTTTTATTGGTAACAACATGCAATGCACCAGGATGAGAAATATTGTGTCTACTGGATGCAACATGCAATGCAACAGGACTGCGTCACGAAGTCTACTGTATGCAGTTAATGATATGTATCAAGACTTTTTATGATGTCTACTGGTTGCAACATGCAATGCACCAGGATTAGAAATATTGTGTCCACTGGATGCTACATGCAATGCACCAGGACCGCGTCATGAAGTCTACTGTATGCAGTTAACGATTTGCATATACAACTGTATATATTGTGACGCGAGGCGAACTCGTCAACACAATTTTTATAGGGAACGTTGGTTTTTATTGTGAAAATTATTTAATACTCCATATTGAATCACACACTGTAACACTATAATCCACTGCACTAGTAAATCCCAATATATAAATCCCAATGTATCAATTTGATTAAGTAAACCTTGTATTAAACCTTTACCTTTCTTTTAGTAATAAAACCAATTCTATTCTACTATTTATTTACAGTTTAAAGAAAATGAAAGTCATGAAAAATTATTAAAATAAATCAACCCAACTTCTTTTATTCTCCTAACTTACCTAATAATTTCCTATTAAAACTATATGTAATTTTCAATAAATAACTTTATATTTATTACAAATCCCTAAGATTTTAACCAATCACCAGAGCTACACCTTGGTAAATATTTCGGTGTAACCCAATCACCAGAGCTACACCTTGGTAAATATTTCGGTGCAATGCAGTGTTTACCAAGATTAACCAAGTCACCAATACACAACACCTTGGTAAATTTCGGTGCAAAATTGGTGCTGGTATTAATTTCCAGGAATAAGAGAAGTAATAGCCGTTTAATAATTTAGTTTAATCACCAATAATTTCTCCGAAAGCCCTTGGTGTGTAATAATTTTACCAAAGATCTCGGTGAAATATCAGGTGTCACTTGGTAAATCCTAACCAAACTATAATAAATGTTTAATTACCAAATCCTCTCTAGCCCGTCTTAACTGAGCCTCCGACATCTTCAAAATAATCAACAAGTCTACAGAGCAATTAACCAATTGAACCCTATTTATACTGGTCATCCCCTCAATAACAGTTATATACTGCGAATTAATAGAGATGCTGGTTAAGAAACTCCCCCTACCAGACGGCACCCCACTGTGAATAAATAGAAGTTGGGAAGTGATACAAATTAACAAAGAAACATTCAGCAATGTATTTACACAGCAATTCACTACTGTAAAATTAGATCATTAAACAATTATCAGGATAAAGAGAGTTACAAAACTTACCTATCAAGGTGAAATGTAAATTTGTAACATAACCCCCCTCTTTAAAAAGTTTAGTCCCTAAACTATTTAACTTTGACTGTAGTGAATTGCTTTACACCAATTTAAAATCATAAAATGTACAAACACACACAAACTTTAAGCATTGACAAAAAGTCTTCTCTTTACTGGTTTACTCCATCACGTGTCGACATCTGCACATATCAAGTCTCTTTTTCACCACGCTTTCTAATTCCACAAGTCCATAAAATTTACACTCCTCCATGATACCTGCTAGACCACTGCTCTCATCGGGTAAAATTCTGGCATCTATTCGTCCATTGTTTCTCAGATAATTTAAAATTATTCCTAAATGCTTCGGATCTTTGTCCAAGAAATAAGACGGAATAATTCCATTAGAAGATTTGATTTGCATCAACTTTGCCAACTTTGATGGGATAGATGTTATCGTCTCCTTCGTTGTTTTGAATTTATATCCACCAACATCTAACTGCACCATGTTTTTCTGCATTTGTTCCATTTGTTTGATGACACTCAACTCATCTTCTTCTTTGTCGAATTGATCGTCTGCTTCTATAGATATTTCGTCATATTCCTTACTAACCGAACTCACTAACGGTGACCTTGACCTTGTTCGCGATCTGGATGGCATTGGTCTTCGGACGGAAATTTTAGTAATTTGTAATGAAAGGATGTTCTTACTCCATTTTTCTAACTCCTCTTTTGCTTGGCTTCCTGTAGAATCCGTGCGTAAATTAACAATGCTGTAGCCGAATCCTCTTTTGCAGTTCCCATGCTCTTGGTCCTTTCTCGAAAGAGTTGCATTACATTCCTTACAACTATACTTGAATCCACTATGTTGCTCCTGTGCATGCCTATTTGCTGCATAGAGGCTCTCTGACTTAAATTTTTCACACACATTGCACACGTAAGTTATTACCTGAAAATATAAAACAAAGATTAAATAAATGAACAGCACTCTGCAACCAATCTTAATATAAATAGAAGTCACTATATTGAGTGGGCACTTTATAATTTCGTTTTGCACGTTTCTCATTTCTAGCTTCACTTTTCTCCTTAGATGCACTTTTAAATACACTGTCACTACACTGCACATGTCCAATGTTATCCAAATCACAAACATCACCATCAACATTCTCGTCATCACTTATCTTCACAACATCACCACTCATGTCATTGTCAATCCCATCTAAATGAATATTTTCACCATCACTAGCCAAAATTCTACCCGTTATTTCACTATCCATAGTCTCACTAATAATCCATTCTGGTTTATTTTCTCCCAAATAAGGTTTTAATCTGTCAGAATGCACCACTTTTGGTTTTGATCTCTGAGATTCCTGAATTCTGTATGTCACATCACTTATTTTCTTCACTATTAAAAACGGTCCTATCCAATGATTACGCAATTTTTGAGATAATCCTTTCTTCTTCGTTGGGTAATGTAACCACACCGCATCACCGAACTTATACTCATGAAAATTGATATTTTTATCATATCTCCTTTTCATTGTATCTGCAGTAATCTTTAAATTTTCCCTGGCATAATCATGCACACTTCTCATTTGTTCAGCCAATTGAAATGCATAATCTGATTTGAACTGTTTTTGCTTTTCATGTTGAACTTCGCCAAACATCAAATCAATTGGTAAAGTTATCTCCCTTCCAAGCATCATGTATGAAGGTGACACTTTTGTTGCTTCATGCACAGATGATCTATAAGCCATCATCACAACCGACAAAAACATATCCAAATCTCTTTGCATAGGATCTATAAAAGCTGTTAACATATTTTGAATTGTTTGATTTGCACGCTCTACCATCCCATCTGATTTTGGTCTAAAAGGTGTGGTTCGTGTTTTATCCATATTTAACAATTCACAGATTTCCTTAAACAACCCTGATTCAAAATTTGTTCCTTGATCGGAATGAATTTCTTTAGGTACACCAAAGACACTGATGAATCGATCAATTAGAGCAGGAGCAACAGTTGCTGCTTCCTGGTCACGTAATGGCACTGCTTCAGTCCATTTAGTGAAATAATCAGCTATCACCAGAATGTACCGATTTCCTTTTTCAGTTTCGGGGAGAGGGCCCATTATGTCTATTGCTATTCTTTCCATGGGAGCTCCTACAACATATTTCTTCATTGGTCCTTGATAATGTTTCACAGGTCTTTTTCTTGCAGCACACACATCGCAAATTTTACACATGTGTTGAATATCCTTCCTCATATTAAACCAATAGAATCTACATTTCACTCTTTCCAAAGTTTTGTTAACCCCTAGATGCCCAGAAGTTCTAGAACTGTGTAACTCATTCATCACATATTTCTGTAATTCTTTAGGCAAGACAATTAACCACAGAACTTCTTTTCCACTATCTGATTCCCACTTAAAGTACAACACATCATCCTTTAGCGTTAGTGAATCATACCGGGCCCAGTAATGTTTCACTTCTAAGGATTCGGAAGAAATATCCTTCCATTCAGGTTTAATCCCTGATGATTTCCATGTCATGACATTTTTCAAAATACTATCATTTTGTTGCATTTCCGACATCTCTGGTACGGATACAACTCTGTTACACATAGCGACATCAACTGGCGTAACAGTATTCGGACTCGCACTCACGTCATTCTTTAACGCAATTTCCAGCAAGCTACCCGAAAACTCACATCCACTGATGTCCGTTTGAATGCCAATCTCTTCACTAGAAGTGACATTCTTTTTCTCAACTTTATCACAATAGGAACACTCAACATGAAAACAAGGTCGTCTGGACAACGAGTCAGCATTCGCATGCAACCTTCCCTGTCTATGTTGAATTTCCATATCATAAGTAGACAAAATTTCAATCCATCTAGCCATTTGACCTTCCGGATTTTTGAAATTAAGCAACCAACGCAATGCACCATGATCAGTTCTCACAATGAAATGTCTGCCATAAAGATAATGATGAAATTGTTTCACTGCTTTCACAACTGCCAAGAATTCCTTTCTGGTCACACAGTACTTCCTTTCTGGTTTTGAGAGTGACTGACTGTAATAACATATCACTTTTTCCTGATCATCCTGTATCTGTGACAACACAGCACCAAGTCCTGAATCACTTGCATCCGTGTCCAACACAAATAGTCCAGTTCTGTTTGGGTAAGCCAATATTGGAGGTGACACAAGTAGCTCCTTCAAAGTCCTAAAAGAAAGATCACACTCTTCAGTCCACAAAAATTTCCTCCCCTTTTCCGTAAGCCTGTGAAGTGGTTTGGCGATAGAAGCAAAATTTCTAATAAATTTCCTATAATATGAGCACAATCCCAAAAAGCTCCTAACTTCAGTCACATTCTTAGGAATTACCCAATCCTCAATCACTTTTGTTTTCTCTGGATCTGTAGAAACTCCATTTTCATTCACCACGTGTCCCAGAAATTTCACTTCTTTTTGAAATAAAACACATTTCTCTGGATTTAATTTCAAGTTAGCTTCCCTAATTCTTTCAAACACTTGAGATAAATTTGAAACTTGATCCTCAAAAGAGTTGCCAATCACAATTATGTCATCCAGGTATGCCATACAAATTTTCCAATTTAATCCATATAGCACTTTTTCCATTAGTTGTACAAATGTTGCACCACTATTACACAATCCAAATGGCATGACTTTAAACTGCCAAAACCCACTGTCAAATGTTGCAAAAGCTGTTTTTGGTCTATCCTCTTGTTCTACCTCAACTTGCCAATAACCACTTTTCAAATCTAAAGTTGAAAACCACTTAGAACCACTTAAAGCATCTAATGAATCGTCAATCCTTGGTAGCGGTTGAGAATCTTTCACAGTCACATCATTAATTTTTCTGTAATCCAAACAAAATCTAGCTGTCCCATCTTTCTTTGTCACTAATACCACAGGAGAAGCCCAAGGTCCATTTGATGGTTCAATTATGTCAGCATCCTGCATTTCCTTCACTGAATCCTTCACAATTTGTTGTTTAGCTAAAGGAACTCTCCTGGGTCTCTGCTTTATTGGAGTTGCACCCTGTGTACCTATCTTATGAGTCACTAGATTTGTTCTCCCTATGTCACTTGAATGTTTAGAAAATACATTTTGATTTGACAGTAATATTTGTTTTACTTTTTCTTTTTGGTCACTGTTTAAATTCACAGAGCTATCCTCAAATAACCTCTCCAGATGTTTTGGTAAACAATTAGACTCACTTGTCTGACATCTACGGACTTCATTTGTGTCTGTTTCTAACTGCACTTCATTCACCTCAACACATTCAGCGACTAAAACATTTTTATTGAGGCTAATGTCTTGATCAGTTAAATTCAATAGCCTTACGGGAACACTATCTCCAGACACATTAATCACACTCGATGCTACGAAAAGATTGTAATGGTCACTAAATTGTTCACTTGGCTCAATCAAAGCAAATTCAGAGTTTTCCAGAGCATCAATCACTTTTCCCTGTACAATTGCTTCACTATTTGCTGGCACACAAGTTGATGCTGCAATCACCACTCTACAACACATGGCCTCTACTCTAGATTTGAAACAAGGAATAACACTATTTCCCAACTTTAAATTTTGTTCACTCAAAACGACATCACAATGGTGTTCCATAAGAAAATCCATTCCCAGGATCCCGTCACCTTTAATATCAGCAAGCCACATTTCATGCCAAAAATCCAATTCACCCACTTTCAAGCTAAATTTCCCTTTCCCAAAGAAAGGAGAGACTTCACCTGTGGCTGTCAACATTGCAATATTTACAGACTCCAAACCTGGCTTTTTGTTTTCAGGCATATTCTTGAAAAAATCCACACTAATAATAGATATGTTTGCACCTGTATCTACAAGCAATGCAATTGGTACACCTTGCACATATGAACGTATATACAAGCCATCACCATTCAACCATGATGATCCAACTAACATCACTTCGGGCCATTCATTTCCTCCCGAACCCTGGCCCCGGAATTCGGTGTTCTCATGTTTCCCCCCTGATGCAGATTTTTGTTTGAATGGGGTCCATTCGAATAACTTGCCTTATGATTGAGAGCTTCCTGACACAGTCTTAATTCTTTTCTCATTTCATCCATATCCCTTTTCAGTCCTTGAATTCCAAATTGAATATTATTTGGACTTTGTTTAACATTGGTCTGTGGATACCTGCCATTCCCATATTTTGAAGGTGTCGGAGGCCGACTTTTATTTGGTAGCTTGTTGGATGGTTTCTCGGGGTATTGAGAGGTATCCACTGATCTCACTAAAACTTTCCCTCTTTGCCTATCTGCTAATTTATGGGTCTCAATGCGCACTGCGATAATTTCCGCCTCTGAAATATTTTTTGGTCTTGCCTCGCGAAGTCTAAACCGCATATCCGGGTCTGTCAAAGCATCAATAAAATGATCCAACGCCAGCACATCCAACAAATTAGACGAGGCATTTGGGTATGCTTGTCTAGTTAACTTTCGTATTGTTTGGGCAAGCTCGGGAATACTTTCATCCCTGTTTCTTGTTTTTGACTGTAATCGTGCTCTAAACATTTCAGCTCTATTTGTTGTGCCGAAACAATTTGACAATGCTTTCACTAATTTGTCAAAGTCCCTTCTTTCAGTTGATGACAATTCATTTAAAATAGCTCTTGCTTGTCCCTTCAGACTTCCTGCCAAATAAAGAGATTTTGATTCATAACTCCATTTGTTTATGTCTGAAAGAATATCAAACTGTGTCACATATTCCTCCCAATCATCAGTTCCATCGTAGTACTGAGGTTTCATCTTAATGGCACTGTGCGACGTCGCGCTTGAAATCTGAGGTTTTTGTTCCTTGGGAGAATCAGAATCCTCCAAATTACTCGGTTTCTGTCCACTCTCCCCTAGCAAATTTAATGAACTCTCCTCCTCGCACTGCTGACCTTTTCTATCAGACTGACTTATGCTTTTTGTTACTCCTTCAAAATATGTGTCCTTATTAAATGGTTTGACTTGCTCATCCAAGTCCCATTTAACACTCTTTTGAAATCCTAGAGCACTTTTTGGAGTAGAAGTCATAAAAACCGGAACTTTTTCATCCCCAAAATTGAATTCTTGTGAACCATTTTTGACACTACTTTCCTTCTTAATCTCCTTCTCAAGATACAACACCGAATTCTCACCTGATGTTTCTATTTCTTGTTTAATTTCACTGAATACTTCCTCTTTTATCATTTTCAGTTTTGTGTGGTATTGATCAAATTCCTCTCTAACTGATTGAAACATGTTTTCCATAAACATTTGCTGTTTTTCCATTTGACCAAATACCGTTTCTTGAAACTGAGATAAAGTTGTATTCAATTCTTCCTTCATAACTTTAAGATCACTTTTAACATCTTTTCGGGCTTCCTCGTCAGGCACCTGATAATGCACTTCTTCACTAATTTCATCTAACGTCATAGTTTCATGCCACTGCTCTTCATCAAAAATAGATTCATTTTCACCTTTCGTTTTAAACGAAACAATTCCCGAAGACTTATCCATTGTGTTTATTTTTATTTAAAACTCGTTAATCAACACAAAGTCACAAAACTGAAATACAGTTTGAATTCACAAAAGCAAAAACAACAATTTTCACATATAAACCAAATCCCACCGCTGCCACCAATGTGACGCGAGGCGAACTCGTCAACACAATTTTTATAGGGAACGTTGGTTTTTATTGTGAAAATTATTTAATACTCCATATTGAATCACACACTGTAACACTATAATCCACTGCACTAGTAAATCCCAATATATAAATCCCAATGTATCAATTTGATTAAGTAAACCTTGTATTAAACCTTTACCTTTCTTTTAGTAATAAAACCAATTCTATTCTACTATTTATTTACAGTTTAAAGAAAATGAAAGTCATGAAAAATTATGAAAATAAATCAACCCAACTTCTTTTATTCTCCTAACTTACCTAATAATTTCCTATTAAAACTATATGTAATTTTCAATAAATAACTTTATATTTATTACAAATCCCTAAGATTTTAACCAATCACCAGAGCTACACCTTGGTAAATATTTCGGTGTAACCCAATCACCAGAGCTACACCTTGGTAAATATTTCGGTGCAACTCGGTGTTTACCAAGATCAACCAAGTCACCAATACACAACACCTTGGTAAATTTCGGTGCAAAATTGGTGCTGGTATTAATTTCCAGGAATAAGAGAAGTAATAGCCGTTTAATAATTTAGGCTATCACCAATAATTTCTCCGAAAGCCCTTGGTGTGTAATAATTTTACCAAAGATCTCGGTGAAATATCAGGTGTCACTTGGTAAATCCTAACCAAACTATAATAAATGTTTAATTACCAAATCCTCTCTAGCTCGTCTTAAGTGAGCCTCCGACATCTTCAAAATAATCAACAAGTCTACAGAGCAATTAACCAATTGATCCCTATTTATACTGGTCATCCCCTCAATGACAGTTATATACTGCGAATTAATAGAGATGCTGGTTAAGAAACTCCCCCTACCAGACGGCACCCCACTGTGAATAAATAGAAGTTGGGAAGTGATACAAATTAACAAAGAAACATTAAGCAATGTATTTACACAGCAATTCACTACTGTAAAATTAGATCATTAAACAATTATCAGGATAAAGAGAGTTACAAAACTTACCTATCAAGGTGAAATGTAAATTTGTAACAATATATACCACTACAAAATCGAAGTTTATTCAAGGCAGAGTTTAAACTTCATCCGCTGAAAGGTAGTCAATGACATGGTCTTAGGAACCAAAATTGGGATGGAATAGGGGCAACTTTGCCGATATATAACAATTTTATATACATTCGATACAATTTTTATATCAAAGAAAAATATTTTGATGTTATAACGAACGATGTTGTCGGATTGTTGTCTGCTTTGCAAACACATGGTGCGGAAATATCTGGCTCATGGATTGTATAAAAATACCAATTATGTAGTTCATATGGAAATTCAACATTAACATCGAATTGATTATTCGGTAAGGAATTTTCCATATCTTCTAAGCAGATATCGAGTAAAGGGTAATTAAAGAGTTCTCGGTTTTGTTAAGTGGTCTTTACTTCACGATATAAACTGTTAATCGTCTCCAATATTATTTTTCACTGGTCAAATGAAACTTGTAGATGTCTGAGTTTGCAAAAATGCTCCCTTTCAGCCCCCATCCCCCATTAATATCTAGAGGAAGCTCCTTTTGTACACACACTTTGCACATCAGATTAAAATTCGTGACTTCACACTAGCCTATACATTAGCAGAATGAATATACGCCACTGATATTACTTTTTCCGTATGTGAAAATATATTAGATTAAAAAAATTTACAGATACGACATGTACCAATAATGGTAAAGTTTAAAATATTTTTATAAAATTTTCCGAATATTTTCGACTGTAGTTCAAATAATGCTATCCTGTCGAATATTCGACAACGAAATTTTAATACTTTCACATCTCTAGAATTTAGTGAAATGGACCTAACATATACTGAAAATATACTTTTAAATGGTAATATATTTAAAGTACCCTGCATAAAAGTTAATCTTTATGAATTATTCGAGAATATTGTTTAGATGTTTTGTTTCCGTAATAATGAATAAAATAATACAAAAATTGTGGCTATTGTAAAACTTTTTTTTTTAAATTAAGACAAAGCAGTTAGAGTACATATTGTATATATATTTGTTGTAAATAGAGTATATATTTGTTTACTATTTTTTTTTTTTTTTTTTTTTTTTTTGCAAAATTTAAATTGATACAGTTAATACATGTAAGAATGACTAGGTAATTTTTTCATATCAATTAAATGAACCACTCATAGATGAAATCTTATAAATCTTTGCTAAAATTATAAATCCTTGTAATACAAATATCTTCTAAATAAAATAAAATTATAAATAAACTCTTCGATTTTTCATTGGAGAACTAATTCATATGGACAGGATGATCAAAAAGAAAGTAGATCTTACGGGTATTTACGTTTATTCTAAATTTTAACTTATGGGGATTTTCAATCGTTATTAAACACATCACGGAAATCAGGTAAGTTTAATTATTTGGCAATTGAAAACTGTTACATGTAAATTAAACATTACTATTCTCTGCAAAATCATAGTTACATTTTTAAATTGTAAAATGTTTTACAATTTTGCATACTTCTTAAGAAACTTAACAAGCAAAATTTTAAAGACATCAAAGATATATATAAATGTACTCGAAGCATTCAATTAAATAATAGCAGTATATATGACTTACGTAATTTGGGCAGGGTTTATATACATTTAATAATTTCTTTGTTTCTCAGCAAGTGTTTAATGTCCTTCTATATTTATTCTTTACTATCATTAGAATGGATCACATTCCTCGTCTATCTGAGGTCCTATACGTGGGTCTGTGTCGTAAGATAGGGACAACGACAGAAGTGGCCATCAGGAGGGACGTGATGGACATGAAGGAGATGATCAACACACCTGTACAAATGTATATTGGATGTAGATATATAGATACTGGTAGTTTTAGGGAGGGTTTTAGGTTTCACTCCTCTGATCAGGATATAATGTATTGGAGTGTTAACCATAAAATTATAAATAATATTTCTCAGTTCACCATTTACGATGCATCAAAACATACCATTATTCTAATGGAGGACACAGATACACCGCCTGGATTTGTCCGATTACGACTTCTTACGCAGCCAAGGGACTACTTTATCAATTCAGCAGTTGTTTCCTTGAACGGTATACATTATCTTTCAAATTTGTTATGGAAAGAAAAGTGGTTGCAAAAGATTAAAGAAATGAAAGCAATTAAAAATGTGGAAGGTCATGGTCCTTGTTTAACTGGTTATGTCGGCGATATTGAAAATGATTATGCTTTATGTTTTATCAGTAAACATTGGACAAAAATAACAAGTAATTGGATTGAACGATCTCATGAATACACCTGGCCTCCTGAATATGTGTTAACTGAAATTCTGAAGAGCGGTTTTCATTGTGTTGCTATCGGAAATGATATTTTATCTCCTTCCTATGAATTAGAGTGGAGATTATCGTTTTCTCGAGCCGAACAAAAATTAGTTTGTACCATGAACCACGCCCAATTCTTATGTTACGGACTTCTGAAAATATTTCTGAAGGAAGTAATCAATCATAGTATCCGCGAACCATTACTTTGTTCATATCACATAAAAACTACAATGTTCTGGATTATACCGTTGGAAACTATTCAATGGTACCCAAACAATTTACTGAACTGTTTCTGGAAATGTTTCAAATATCTCATTCATTGTGTTTACCGTGGCGAGTTTCCCAATTTTTTCATTCCACAAAATAACATGTTTTCAAACAAAGTAATTGGATCTAACCGTATTTGTTTACTAGAACAACTTAATCAATATTACAGAATGGGTGTGTCTTGTCTTCTTCTTAGTCCAACTCTCAGATCAATCCTCGAACCAGCCTTAAGGACCTCGTCGTTTTCGGATCATTTTGTTGAGGGTCATGTCAAATCTGTCGAGGAAATAGATACTCTTGCCAGATTTGAATTATTCTCTCTTTCGTTTTCAAATAGCTCTTATCAACAAATTGTTACACAATTGAAATCGGTTGAAAGATTATTACAATTTTCATTTTCACCATACCAAACACTAACCTTACAATACTGTACAGCTCAAACTCTTATTGACATGGTGTTCATTGCGGCACAGAGTTCTTCCTGTAGCACTAATAAAGAAAGGTCTGGATTAGAAAGAACATTTTGTAAAATACTGAAACTGGCAGGAAAGATAGGTTTTGTTTCTGATTTACTGTATTTAGCTTTGTATTACTATAGAATTGGTAGATATCATGGAACTGTTAAGTTAATTCCTGTTATCAGAAAAAGACTTTCACAGCCTTTCATCATGTATGAAATTCTAGATGTTGAGGGATATAAGGCTGTATGTAGTCTGTCTCTGTCTCAACGGATGAAAATAGTATGGGCAAGGAACCTTACATTTAATGTGAGTGTTTTATATATTGAAGAATTCTTATTAGAACAACAGGAAGCCGAGAAAAATGGAAGGCCATCTCTCTATATATCCCCATTTCTTACACTAGAATGGTTGTCCGTGTTATCTTACTACAGACTAGGGAATCAGTCTCTATATCAACAGTCTCTGTCAGACTTAAAAACTCTGCTGTTATATGATGATGGGACATATATGCCTACAAAGACTAAAGATCTATCCTGGCAGATACTTGGGATTTGTCAGCACGTTTTAGGGGACTTGCACGGTGCTTTACATTCTTATCGTGAGTCACTGAAACAGGAGCCATGCCACAAAATACAGAAAGCTACAGAAACTAGAATAAGTTATGTTGAAAGGCAACTTCAATAAACATTCTATGTCCCCACGTGCTGGTGATTCGAAATAATGGAAGACAATTTAGAAAAATTAAAAACTTGGGTATATGAAACATGAAACCAAAATTATTTTGATTGTTAAGTAAATATACAGAATATCCAGAGTATTTGTTTATTTAATACTTATATCTAAGTAAGGATATCTCTGAACTCTAAGTTATGTAATTGATTAAGCCAGTTAAATGCCATAATCATCAACTGGAATAGTACTTTGATTTGTATCGCTTTTTGATCTTTGTGACATTGTTGTGTGTGGATCAATAAATCTTAAAATAAAAATCAGTATGTCGCAATTTAACTAAAATTGGTGATAGCCATTGGTTTGTATATTTCAGGGCCTGGTCAAAAGATTGATGTGTGATTTAAGTTAAGAACTAAATTTAAATAGGTATTTGGGGGGGGGGGGGCTTATGAGTCCTTAAAGATATTTTTATGTTGTCATAGGTCGATAATTGTTTAAAATATCTCAAATATTAAACGATATAATTGGAATAGCTTGCTATTTTGTTATCATAAATCAATGAAATGCTAGGTAATAAATACTACTTCATGATAATGAAATTCTAATCAAACTTCTTCGTATAAAGTTTTTAGGGGGACAGGGGCTCTTGATGAAGACTATGTGTACTTACTTTGTTAACACATTGAACTTTGGTCTCTCTTCTGATTTAGTTTGATCGTTGACAGCCACGGTATTTCTATATATACCATATTCGAGTATATACCGTATATATTGAATTCCGAATCTCCATAAAAATTCTTACAAAGATAAATTGTGGGTTCCAGTAAATGTTCAACCAAGCCTCTTTCGTTACACCTTACTAAGATATTGACAGTAATGAGAGAAATCTTCATGAGTACTATACAACAATATGTTCAAGAAGAGGTGTGAAGCAGATGAGAATACCCAAAAAATTCCAAAGAACTTTTGGACAATTTGAAATCACAAGATTTTACAATAATCAACAGCTTACAAACTTACGACTTTTTAATTTATATACAACTACTCACCACAGTAAATTAAAGTACAGGATTTTTACATCATTGACAGCTGCTTTTTTAAAAAACAAAAATGGAACTCGTAAATTTACTTACCTGGACATTGGTCATTTGTAAAATTTTGTTAAAATACATTCTGATTACACACTTTGTTTGCATCAAAGAGATGCTTGAGTTTCTGATTGACAATATCTATGTGGTTTTTGGAGACCAGGTATTCCAACAATCTATTGGAATTCTCATGGGTACCAATTGCGCTCCGTTATTAGCGGACCTATTTTTGTATTCACATGAAGCAGAATTTGTGCAAAATCTTATGCATGAAAAGAAGAAAACACTTGCCCTGGCCTTTAACTCGACATTTAGATACCCCCCGGTATATCGACGACGTATTGTTAATTAACAATGGTAATTTCCATTCCTACGTCGATACGACATATCCTTGTGCGCTTGAGTTAAAAGATACCACAGAGTCTGACACATCGGTTTCATACTTGGACATATTACTTTAAAAAGACGTTAATGGTAAACTTACAACCAAGCTATATGATAAACGTGATGATTTTAACTTTTCTATCGTCAACTTCCCTTACTTACCAGGTATCACCTGCATACGGAGTATATACATCGTAATTGATTCGATAGGTAAGAGCTTGCTCTACGTATGTACAATTAATAAAACGTGGTAAATTATTGACAAGCAAATTCATGAAACAAGAATATCAGCCGTCTCATTGAAAGTCATCTTTTCGTAAGGACTATGGTCGATACAATGACCTTGTTGGCAAATACAATTCATCATTGAGTTGCATTGAGTAGTATTGACGAAACTCCCATTACATACCATGGTATATGCAGTAGCCAATTCGTCTTTGGATGGATGGTAACTGGTGTCCTGTAGATGTGAAAAAGTTTTCCGATATTTTATTTCAACCCTGGGGTAAAAAAGGAGTCGAAAATAACGTTCTACAACCAAAACCATGGTTCCCTGAACACTTCTTACATTTTAAGCGAGTGTATACTAGTATCTTCCCTTGGGTAGCAACAATTTTGACCCTTTGACCTTGATTTTGCTTTCAACTTGACCATTTTTTTATTTTATAAAATAAACAAAAATACAAAATTTTAACAAATTTTGCAATTTTGATATCATATGCAAAGTTATAGAAGAAATTAATATATCATAGTAATTAATTACATAAAAATAAACGACATTTAACATCGATATCGTGATGATGTCCGTATTCTTGATCAAAGCATACATAAACAGAAGACAACACAGTGTGATCCGACTGATTCTCCACTTCTTTCTACAATAAATTTAAATCAATAAAATTAATTTGTACACGTAATGTTTAAAAAAAGTAAATATGATAAAGCGTCCAATCATTCAGTACAATACTGTCATTGTAACATATCATTATCCATTTATCCAAACATACGGTGTTTTGCTTATCACGTTTTTACAAGGCCAATCAAATCGAGGAGACAAAAGTCCTACACGTTTTATCCATTTTGGACTTATCAAAATGTACTTTTTATATATGACTAAAAGAATATAATTCGATATAATCAAACTTTACAAATTTTATCATACATGGCATCAACTATATTCGGGTTTAGTTGTAGGAAACAAGACCGCTTCATTATGTCAAGTATTGGTAGAAATGCTTTTCCATAGCCAAACCTCTATACTTAGGTGTAACCCTCATACCCGCCTTAACCGTGTCCCAACCCATCAAACTCTGGTCGCAAAATTCAATGCACTAGGGCACATCATGATGACTTATGTATGACTTATGTATGCATGTCATTGCAAAATGCAATGACCAGGATAAAAGTATTAAATGTCTACAAGATGCAACATACTTTATACCAAGTCTGCGTCATCAAATTGACTGTTTGTAGTCATATTTACAAAAAGATATTTTTATGCAATGCACCAGGAAATTATAACTTTGTGTCTACTGAATGCAACATGCAATGCACCAGGACTGCGTCATGAAGTCTACTGTATGCAGTTACGATATGCACCAGGACTTTTCATGATGTCTACTGGTTGCAACATGCAATGCACCAGGAAAATAAAACTTGTGTCTACTGGATGCAACATACAATGCACCAGGACCGCGTCATGAAGTCTACTGTGTGCAGTTACGATATGCACCAGGACTTTTCATGTCCACTGGTTTCAACATGCAATGCATCAGGATTAGAAATATTGTGTCTACTGAATGCAACATGCAATGCACCAGGACCGCGTCATGAAGTCTACTGTATGCAGTTACGATATGCACCAGGACTTTTCATGTCTACTGGTTGCAACATGCAATGCACCAGGAAATTATAACTTTGTGTCTACCGGATGCAACATGCAATGCACCAGGACCGCGTCATGAAGTCTACTGTATGCAGTTACGATATGCACCAGGACTTTTCATGATGTCTACTTGTTGCAACATGCAATGCACCAGGAAAATAAAACTTTGTGTCTACCGGATGCAACATGCAAAGCACCAGGACCGCGTCATGAAGTCTACTGTATGCAGTTACGATATGCACCAGGACTTTTCATGTCTACTGGTTGCAACATGCAATGCACCAGGAAAATAAAACTTTGTGTCTACCGGATGCAACATGCAATGCACCAGGACCGCGTCATGAAGTCTACTGTACGCAGTTACAATATGCACCAGGACTTTTCATTATGTCTACTTGTTGCAACATGCAATGCACCAGGATTAGAAATATTGTGTCTACTGAATGCAACACGCAATGCACCAGGACCGCGTCATGAAGTCTACTGTATGCAGTTACGATATGCACCAGGACTTTTCATGATGTCTACTGGTTGCAACATGCAATGCACCAGGATTAGAAATATTGTGTCTACTGGATGCAACATGCAATGCACTAGGACCGCGTCATGAAGTCTATTGTATGCAGTTCACGATATGCACCAGGACTTTCCGTGATGTCTACTGGCTGCAACATGCAATGCACCAGGATTAGAAATATCGTGTCTACTGGATGCAACATGCAATGCATCAGGAAAATTAAACATGGTGTGAACTGGGTGCAACATGAAATGCAACAACACGTCTTGAAGTCTTTTGCAGGCAAATATTTTACGTCACAAGATTTTTTCGTTGTAACATGCGTGAAATTAACCAAGCAGGATTCTTTTGAGTTTTCTGTAGCTCTTAGAATGGTGAAACAATTAGAATTGATATTAACAATTAAAACAATTTAATGTATCCCTTGATGATAGGTGATAGACTGCCGTCTATATTTTTGTTACTCAGTAACTTGCTGAAACCTTTCCTGACCAATCCTATAGTATATCAACATTGTAACAGATTAACGGTCTCCATTAAAAGTGGGTCGAAAAGTTAAAAATTGAAAACGTATATGATCTAGCTTGTTAGACAGTTTAAAACCATGCCTATTTATAAGTACATGTGCTATCACTATGCCAGTTTTAAGGTTTTTTTCCTACAGATTTAGATAATGGGCTGTGCAAAATGAAATATATTTTGATAAAATACTTCACGACAAGGAACAAGAAAGTGATGCTTATCCCATGGCTATATTCATTGGTTCATACCATAATGCAGTGCCATTAACGCGTTGAATATGTTTCTTTATTAAAAGAGAGTCAAATACTTATCTTTCAAAAAATATTTACAATTTTAATTGTAAATATCGCCAGACTGGTTTTTATGAACTGTAAATAGATCGTTGTTTCTCAAGGACAAGCGCACCAATCACGACAATACACCAGAAGGTGGTTTGTGGACTGTTTAAAGGAAGAAGAATATGAAGAAAGTTTTTCACGATGTTGAGGTGTTTGTTTTATAGATCCACCGTCTATGATAATGTCCATTCTAGCTCACCCCTAGCAACTGAAAGAAGAAATGCAAGAATTAGATCTATCATAAATTTGGATAAAGTAATATATGTACTCATTATCATAAGATATATTCAGATAAATGTTATTGCTTTGATAAAATATAAGACAAAAAGAAAAAATACTTACTATGTTATTATCTTCACGCTTCTAAAAATCGGGTGCATTCTTTTTGTGTTGGCGTTGTGATGAGAGATGAAACGAAACGTCATGATCATTGTGACGTTTAATCCCTTTGTGACGTCATAAGTATACATAATAAAATTCGAAACATCACAGCATTTGAAAAAGACTAAACAAAACTATTCCGAATCAAACGTCTAGAGCTGGACACAATTTTTTTACCTTCATTATCAATTTCAATTTAATT